AAATAATATTATAGCAATGTTTTATGCCTAGTTGACATTCATTTAATGAGGGACTTTGGTGCGACCTCGGTACATTATCACACGTTTGGGTATAGCACGTACAAATATCTTCTTAATGACTCCCCAATTACATAATAAAGACATAATTTCGACAAGTTTTTACTTCTTAAACTAACATTAAGAAACCGATTGGAAGTCTAAGAATTTCAACACTGAAATGCCGTTCAATGAATTAATCTAAGTTTCAACCGAAACGGCCACACTGTGATGTTAACTGATACGAAACACGCATATTGTCTTCTAGATTTATTTTGCCAGCATTTATAATATCAAAAACGATGTTTGATAATCAGTGTTCAGTGTCTGTACATCATCATTACGTTTGGAGACACCTGTCGTTCTTATTATTCTAGTCGCCCTGGCGCAATCAGTAAGAGTAATATACAGGATTCTATACTTTTTGTACTCTCGTTTAACATAGGACAAATCTCCACGTAACCATTTGCTTGGCACATCACTTAATTCTGTTATGTAATCAATATACACATATATAGACGTATGTATAGTAAAAGATTGTTTTTGTATGCTTGTTTGTTTTTTCAGCCTACATATACAACTCTCTATTTGGAGACTTACACATGATAACTCACTGATGACAGGTCTGAAACGGAAAGTTCGTAGTCACTCATTTTAATGTTATGAAAGTTCACATAGGAATTTGGTCCTCATTTTGTAATATGAACAATTATTCCTACCATAGGGATATGTACCTGTATATATAATTATGACTGTACTTTATGGTATTGATGGCAACATAATAATTTTTTAATACATAAACGATTATTACCGTCGTTTCATGCGTGATTGAAATATCATAAAATGAATTGAAACTTTGTTAATAGCCCGGTAACATTTTGACAGAATGTATCATGTATCCCATGCCTCATATAATTGCTCATTATTACTTCATCACGTTAGCAGGGCTAAAGTCTGCCTGCCCATGTATGTGAACTTATATTTACATGTATATAAGATTTTCGTAATTTGTTTTAAAACGAACTAGCACAAAAGTGTGACGTCATATGTTTAATCAAGGTTATAGTGCACTGGTAAAATTCACTGCTCAATCAATTTAGTGTTCTCTTTCCAAAAAAAACTGTCCAAAAATAAATACAGGAGATAATGATAATGTAGGAAACACAACCAAATCTCTGAAGTATATCGATGTACAGTCGATATAACACAACCAAATCTCTGAAGTATCTCGATGTACAGTAGATATAACACACAAATCTCTGATGTATCTCGATGTACTGTAGATATAACACACAAATCGCTGAAGTATCTCGATGTACCGTCGATATAACACAAACAAATCTCTGAAGTATCTTGATGTACAGTCGATATAACACACAAATCGCTGAAGTATCTCGATGTACAGTCGATATAACACAAATCTCTGAAGTATCTTGATGTACAGTCGATATAACACTTACAAATCTCTGAAGTATCTCGATGTCAAGTCGATATAATACAAATCTCTGAAGTATCTCGATGTATAGTAGATATAACACACAAATATCTGAAGTATCATGATGTACAGTCGATATAACACACAAATCTCTGAAGTATCATGATGTACAGTCGATATAACACACACAAATCTCTGTCGATATCGATATAACACACACCAATCTCTTAAGTATCTCGATGTACAGTCGATATAACACACAAATCTCTGAAGTATCTTGATGTACAGTCGATATAACACACACAAATCTCTGAAGTATCTCGATATACAGTCAATATAACACACACAAATCTCTGAAGTATCATGATGTACAGTATCATGATGTACAGTCGATATAACACACACAAATCTCTGAAGTATCTTGATGTTCAGTCAATATATCACATAAATTTCTGAAGTATCTCGATGTTTAGTCGATATAACACAAAGAAATCTCTGAAGTATCTCGATGTGCAGTCGATATAACACACACCAATCTCTTAAGTATCTTGATGTACAGTCGATATAACACGCAAATCTCTGAAGTATATCGATGTAACGTCTATATAACACACACAAATCTCTGACGTATCTCGATGTGCAGTCGATATACCACATACAAATCTCTGAAGTATCTTGATGTACAGTCGATATAACACACACAAATCTCAGAAGTATCTCGATGTACAGTAGATATAACACACAAATCTCTGAAATATCTCGATGTACAGTAGATATAACACACAAATGTCTGAAGTATCTCGATGCACAGTAGATATAACACACAAATCTCTGAAGTATCTTGATGTTCAGTCAATATAACACACACAAATTTCTGAAGTATCTCGATGTACCGTCGATATAACACACACAAATTTCTGAAGTATCTCGATGTACCGTCGATATAACACACACAAATATCTGAAGTATCTCGATGTGCAGTCGATATAACACGGACAAATATTTGAAGTATCATGATGTACAGTCGATATAACACACAAATCTTTGAAGTATCATGATGTACAGTCGATATAACACACACAAATCTCTGAAGTATCTCGATGTACCGTCGATATAACACACACAAATCTCTGAAGTATCTCGATGTACCGTCGATATAACACACACAAATATCTGAAGTATCTCGATGTACAGTCGATATAACACGGACAAATCTCTGAAGTCCCATGATGTACAGTCGATATAACACACACAAATCTCTGAAGTATCTCGATGTACCGTCGATATAACACACACAAATCTCTGAAGTATCTCGATGCACAGTCGATATAACACACACCAATCTCTGAAGTATCTTGATGTACAGTCGATATAACACACACAAATATCTGAAGTATCTCGATGTACAGTCAATATAACACACACAAATCTCTGAAGTATCTCGATGCACAGTCGATATAACACAAACAAATTTCTGAAGTATCTTGATGTTCAGTCACTACAACACACACATTTCTGAAGTATCTCGATGTACAGTCGATATAACACACACAAATTTCTGAAGTATCTCGATGTACAGTCGATATAACACGGACAAATCTTTGAAGTATCATGATGTACAGTCGATATAACACACAAATCTTTGAAGTATCATGATGTACAGTCGATATAACACACACAAATCTCTGAAGTATCTCGATGTACCGTCGATATAACACACACAAATATCTGAAGTATCTCGATGTACAGTCGATATAACACACACAAATATCTGAAGTATCTCGATGTACAGTCGATATAACACACACAAATCTCTGAAGCATCTCGATGTACAGTCGATATAACACGGACAAATCTCTGAAGTCCCATGATGTACCGTCGATATAACACACACAAATCTCTGAAGTATCTCGATGTACCGTCGATATAACACACACAAATATCTGAAGTATCTCGATGTACAGTCGATATAACACGGACAAATCTCTGAAGTCCCATGATGTACAGTCGATATAACACACACAAATCTCTGAAGTATCTCGATGTACAGTCGATATAACACACATCAATCTCTGAAGTATCTCGATGTACAGTCGATATAACACACATCAATCTCTGAAGTACCTCGATGTGCAGTCTATATAACACACACAAATCTCTGAAGTATCTCGATGTACAGTCGGTATAACATCCATGCATTGTAGATTTCCAAGTTAACATACAATTACACGCCATTTATGCACTACATAATTATTATTTTCAATGCATAGTGATTATAAATTCCGAACGTACTATGGCTGTCAATAGTGATTTATTGATAATTAGTGTCAATAATTGTTCTTGGATACAAATGAATATATGAACACATATGTTGTATAGTTTGTAGATGTAGACTTGTCACTACTTCTATTGTAGGCTTTCATACGATGACGTATGTAAGATTATAAATCACTTAAGTTTGAAACTATCAACAGCTTCCATTATAATATGGCTGTTTAATATAGCCTGTTGTTGTCCAAAATATATGTATAAAGTCTTCTGTTTAACCTTTGACAGGTATGCGTGGGTACAAAATGTAAAAATGGCAATTTTTCATACATTGATGTAACTATCTATGCTAATTGGTTCCCTAATGTGTATAAATATGAAATGATTCTGGCGTATGATAGAGTTCGATGCAGTGAGAAAAAAACCCTGTAAATCTCGAGGCATTGCGAGCAATGTGATGATGTTTGGTCATAATCCATTAGTGGAGTGCTGAAAAAACTCTCCAAATAGAAACAAAATGACATTGACCATAAAATTCGTACTTGCCCGAGATGCGTGTAAAATGATTTTTCATAAGTGTGTGAGATTTGATCAAACAATCTTTGCCAGAACACTCCAAATCGACCAAGATACAATTGCCTTTTTATAGAGTGTGAGGTTTGATCAAAATCCACGAAGAAATGAAACTACAAAATTATTGACAGGATAAGTGTCAAGTTTTGTGAGGGAATGACCCTACATTTTATCTCCGACATGCGTCGTACAGGGACAAAGAAGTATTGGAACAAATATGTAAATAGTAGGCCAGATAGAGACAGCCGAACATAATCAAACAAAAAACAAAAAACGAAAATTTGGTTTGGCGGCAGGTAGGACTAGTCAAATCTAAATCTGAATTGATCATTATATTCCATCAGGATATATAGACTGTTTATATACTTTGTTCCACTGGTAGATAATTCATTTACAGCCATTCCTATCTAGGTATATTTTGAGGGTGCTTTCAAAAAGGCAAGAAGACATCGGAAATGTATAACAAACAAACCAAAATAACAAAAAAGGGAAAACAAATAAAACAAACAGAAAAAAAAAAAAAAAAAAACAGAAAAAAACTTACACCTCCATTTTTTAAGAAACAGCATGAGATGTTGCAGTTATATTTGTCTTTGTATAAAAAATTTCCTGTAGGATATCAAGCAAATTTTATATCCATTTATACATTTGTTGAAGTTTAATTATGTACAGAAGGACAACGCTCTAGTAATGTCAACACTTGCTCTTTATTTTTCACAATAAACAATAAATAACTCTTTGATTTAAACAAATAAAATAAATGCGAAGTAATATTATATGACAATGATGAACGATATCATTGCCACATGCGTATACAACAGGATTGTAGCGTCACACAATCCAACCGTTCGGCAATGACGTCATCATGTCATGCTATTACAAACAGTGACGTCACCACTTAGGTGATGTAAATATCATGTAAGAAACACAACATCTGACTCATGTGATGATTTAGTGAAAATGAGAAACAATGTCATATCGATGGATCAATTTATACTGATAATACCAAGACTTAAATTAAATATACACCGACAGACTAATGCGATCCCGTGATACATGATAACTTTTAGATAACGATGCGACCATCGCTTAAAGTAAAGCTTGATGAGATTAAAATCGCATCAAATGATAGTTTATTGATCAACGTTCATGCAAATCGAGGGACTAAGAGAGATGGTCAAGACGAACGATTCATTAGGCAATTGAAATCATTTAAATGAAACTTGTTGTTTTCATGTCGAATTCTGTATATATTTACAATGAATGAACCACGAAAAATGTTGTTATATATTTAGGTGCATTGATGTTATGTAAATATATTTAGACTGATTCAAAATGTGAAAAAAAAATATTTACATTAAAATCTACTCGTTAATATGTTGATATTTATTTCAGTGTTAAAGATTATTTGACACATTACATATGGTATAAAGATTTCTTCTTTTTTTTTTGCATATATGTAAATAAACATTTGAGATATTACATTATTATTTCAGTGTTTAACAGAATCAGCGGATTTGTTATCTTTCCTATTTTTAATCAGATTGATATCTATAGAACGTTAAAAATCAAACATTTGTACAGTAGACTGATCTTTTAATGTTACTATATAGAGACTATGAATGTAAGCAAAACGATGTGTGTTGCGAAGGGCTACGTTACAGCATTACAAGTCGATACAAGTCGTGTGCCAAGTCGTTCATTGTCGAAAACCCGCAGACAGAAAATAATAATTTGAAAAATACATACCATGAATATTTTTACTATATGAGAATTACTTAGTTAAAGCCAACAAATATACACGAGTTTGCTTTAAAATGCGAGAGAGAAATTTTCGCGTAGCAATCGTAAATTTGCACCGCTGGTAATTATATTTTCTGTGCACAAAGAAACAAAAAGCAAATTTGTTTAGCAATTTTTACAATTTACACCGGCTTCTGTTTTCTACACAATGATACATTTTGGTATAAATACACGCCAAATATCCTAAACACTTGTTGTGTTTCCGCTCTTGTACTGTTGCATTTAAATGCAACTAGACGAAAGTGCAGCAACATTGGCGAAAAGAAATTAATTGAAATCTGTATCGTAAAAAGGAATACATGACACTATCTTGAAAACGAAGTTTTATGACGTAGTAACTAGCCGTAAAAAATAAGATATAACGGGTTTTACTTTCTGAAGGTTCGTTTTCTGTGAGCAAGAAATTGACTAAGATAATTTAAGAATTTGTCACAAAGACACGCTATTGGACATGGTAAAACAATATTTAATATGTGTTACGTACAGTAACACAGATCATAACACTATCCAGTTTGATATTCCTCACATACTCCTGATTACATTCTCCAAACACATTCAAAACAACTACCTATAACTCATACACATAACTATTTACCTTTCTTACAAACTTCTAAATTCGGATACTGCTGTCGACATGGAATGCTTCTTCAGTGACGTAAATAACATTGTACTACACACATTCATCTAACAGGGAAAACAATAAAATGACGTCATCTTCTTTAATGATGATGTAAATATCCGAACTCTTACAAACAAAAATGAAGTTTCTATATGAAACGAGTACGCACATATTTGCACGAATTAATTAAATATTTGTACAACGAATGGATTAATTCAAAGATTTACGAAGGAGATTCTGTGAAGGTCCGTAGTATGTATTGCAACATATTACTGATGTAGACGCTATACCTGCCATTTTTGAAAATGTATACTGAGTGATTCGGAGTTACTTGTCTCCTCCTCTGGAGACAGTTAAATCTTTTGGTGCTGGAGTACCTTTATTCACAACCAGGAAGTTTACTACTGTCAGAGAGGGGACCGATGACCTAAATAGATTTGACCATCCTTATCCAGCGTTTTAAAGACAGCAAGTAACATAAATAAACCCGTCGTTGTAAGATAGGATTTGGAATGGAATCGTAGATTTATAACAATGATTATGTCTGCATCGTACTCAGTGACACGTCACACTCAGTGACACGTCGCGCACTCAGTGACACGTTGCACTCAGCAACACGTCGCGCACTCATTGACACGTCGCACTCAGTAACACGTCGCACTCAGTGACACGTCGCGCACTCACTGACACGTCGCACCCAGTGACACGTCGCGCACTCAGTGACACGTCGCATGATACTGCTCTGATATCAGGTCTGTACATTTTATTGTATAAGTATTAAAACCATAAATGTACGCGAACGAGTATAAATGTTTCCAACCTAACATCGTCTGACCCTGGTGACGACATCGGTACGGGTGATGCCGACATCTGTACAGGTGACGACGACATCGGTTATATGATGACGACATCTGTACAGGTGATGACGACATCGGTAAAGGTGATGACGATATCCGTACAGGTAATGACGACATCGGTCCAGGTGACGACATCGGTACATATGATGACGACATCTGTACAGGTGACGACGACATCGGTACATATGATGACGACATCTGTACAGGTGATGACGACACCGGTAAAGGTGATGACGACATCGGCACAGGTGACGACGACATCGGTACATATGATGACGACATCTGTACAGGTGACGACGACATCGGTACATATGATGACGACATCTGTACAGGTGACGACGACATCGGTACATATGATGACGACATCTGTACAGGTGACGACAACATCGGTACAGGTGACGACAACATCGGTACAGGTGACGACGACATCGGTACATATGATGACGACATCTGTACATTTGACGACGACATCTGTACAGGTGATGGGCAAGGATTTTTACAGGATTGTTCCTAAATCTATCACAAAATGTCACTATAATATCGATGCTATAAACCACAGAACACTTAATTCACCGCCTGAGGCCCAGTTCTTCAGTAGCGATGCTTGTGATTTAGATGTTTCAAACTCTAAATGTATAAAATCGACAGATTTTGTTTTCTTATAAAATATATAAATCGTCGGCCAAATTCGTAGATAGATTCTGTATTGTACTTCACTAATCCATGCTTGAGTAAATAGTTCAGAAATCATTTCTTGGTTATTGATTTCTTTCTTTCTTTATTTTTGTTGTATGGATTTAAACGATTCCTTTCTTTGTTCTATTAAAACGTTGAAACGTTGTATCTGTAGCATATTACATTACGTCTGTGATACATTATGTCATATTTGTGATCTGTAACGTCACATCTGTGATCTATAACGTCATATCTGTGATCTATAACGTCATATCTGTGATACATTACGTCACATCTGTGATCTATAACGTCATATCTGTGATCTATAACGTCATATCTGTGATATATCACGTCACATCTGTGATACATTATGTCATATTTGTGACGTATAACGTTATATCTGTGACGTATAACGTTTCATCTGTGATCTCTCGCTTTATATCTGTGATCTATCACGTTATGTGATCTTAAATTTATCACTGTGATCTATGACGTCATATCTGTGGTCTATAGACACTTTAATTGGTACGTACACATACTGTGTCGTGGATTTCACTCGTATATATATAATATTTATATATATATATTTAACGTAAATAAATATAACTATATACAAATGTACATCTTTACCAAGTATGTCTTGTCTACCACATATCTACATCCTCCATGTTTCTCCACAGACAGAAGATTTCTATACAATTTTATATTACACTATATACAGGTATTGACGAAAATTTCTTTGACCTAGCAGTTTGTTGGAGGTGATGTTGCAAAGAACATATACGATGTACATGTCAAACTACAGTGTAAGTTGTATCACTTGCGTTGTCCATAGCAACAATAACACAACTTCAGTCCGCGGTCCGTTCCAGGTCCGTCCTAACATGCCTGTTCATTGGTGACGTCACACCAACAGCTTGTCGTTACATCATAAAAACAGGCAGATTCGTGGATTTGATGTCGTTAAGGCACAGTTGTATCAGAATTTGTCGCTAAAATCCAAGGTTATTTCCCGCGTTAAATCTAATGCGCGTGGGATTCTATCAAATGATCTTATCTGTCACGTAATAGCCGATATAACACTTATTAATAATGTCACTAAGAAAACAGAAGTAGAATGTAATTGGCGCGTGCCGCTGTTCCCTCTCGCTCTAGTTTGCTGCAATACGGGATCTTTCTCCAAATCTGAAAAAGAAGATAGAGTCTTTGTTACCCGGTTGCAAGTTACGTATCGTGTCATCAATATGGTGTGAAATGTGCTGTTAACTTGATAAACATACGCCAACATATTTTTAAACAATCTGATATCAATCATATCGCATTTATTTTCCATCTTCACATCAAGCTTTATCGATCAAGATATAAGTTAAATGTTTGTTACTTTAAAACATTTTGTTATTTGTCATATGTTTACTTTTCCTTACTATCTGAAGTTGCATCAATTATACCGTGATTTTTGTAGTTATATGATAAATAAGAAAGAGGTAAGCAAATACAAAAATATCGTGATTGATGGTGACAACAAAAATACAACATAAAGAAATAGAAATTAGGTAGAAAGACGAAATCCTTATTGTTCAAAGCCATGTCAACAGTACTGCAAAAATTCCATCTAGTTATCACATAAAATTTCAAAGAGTAAACGTTGTATAGAACTTCAAATACCATTCCAGACCACTGCAAGTATACGGTAAATCGGAATTTATTTGCTATTCAAATATAGATATATATGTATATGAAAATTGCTCGAGCGCTAGCTATGTTGAGGTGACTTTGAGCAACCCAGGTTAGGTGGAAATCACTATGAGGTTACCACATTAAAAATAACAATATTTTCTCAAACATAATTTAGAGGGGTCGAAAGGAGCGCAATGTGGATTTTTTTATACGTCAACAATTTTGATAAAATGAATAAACGTATCAGCTATTTGGTACGAATTATTTTGTTTCTGTGAAAATGAAATACAGAAAAAAATCGATTGGTTGTTCATAAAGATGTTCTAATTGTTTTAATGTTAAAGTATAAATGCTTATATCGCCATTTGTCGTTTTAAGATCCACATACTTTACAATAACAAGGATCAGGAAATATGTTACCATGGTAACCAAGAAGGGATTGCCTACCGTCCTTAGGGTTGTCTCCGGCGATTGTCTTACCCTTTTTATCATCATTACGCTTTGCTACATTCTTTTCCACTGCTTCAGCAAAAGGAAAAATGAAAAAAGACCATTAATTCACAAAAAATATACATATATAACGAAAACAAATACATTTCAATTTGAAACATGAATATGCTATCTGCCTTGAACATTTGTATTAATATCACTCTGCCTCTTATATACGCGTTTGTTTATAACGGTAGTGTAAGACTTAAACAATAGTACATGTTTGGTATATGTTATAATTTATTATCGGAAATAACATAATTTTACTATCACATATCTGTTGTCGGCAGAATGGGTGACTGGATGTGTCAGTTCATCAGATGCACAACGACATAGTCAGTAGGTATATATATGTATAAATGTGTAATTCCAATTCTGTACATTGATCAGGGAGGAGAGTCTAAATCTGAATATCTACATTGGCTGTCTGCTTGTTCCATCATACTATATACAAACACGACAAAGCTAGAAAGCGTGAGTTCCGCAAATAAAGAGAGCAAACGGACAAACGGTGTTCACGAAAGGTACAGATTATCACAATGTACGAGATATGAAAAACAAAACACAACAATATATATATACATATTTATAAAGGTAAATCGTGGTGAAAACGTAGAGGAAACGTGATTATTTTATAAATAAAAACAAAGCAGTAATTCCATCAGTTTTATTTTAGAAGAAATGTTATTAATCAGATATTTACCGCTTAAAATATGTACGGTTTTACTGGTTGTGTCCAGGTCCGAGCTGCGACACACATAACTGCCCTTGTCGGCATCCGTGCAGCGTTCTATGATAAGTGTGCTAATGAGTGACCTCCCGGGAACCTCGGGGACCTTGTTCAATATCATCAGTCGGTTGGCATATTTTTTATCGCTTGAGTTGATTATGTGACCGTCATGGAACCAATCGACCGCCGCCGGCGCCCTTGTCATGCCCGTGGCATTACATGTCAAGTTCAGCTTCTGGTATATATTGATAAAGACGGCACCGGTTATCTCTATAGCTGCTGAAAGGAAAGACATGAAACAAAGTTGACTCTCATGCAATGAAATGGCGAACAAAATTCATAAAACAATTGTCAATTTCAATTTTCAGAAATGATATAAATCAGAGTAAAGATAGATAATAGCAATGCCAAGATACATTTGCTGTTGTTGGTGATTGTAGTGACGTAATGTAGACTGTATCATTGTATTTTCTGTTATCCTGTTGTTGATGATTGTAATGACGTAATGTAGACAGTGACTGTATCATTGTATTTTCTGTTATCCTGTTGTTGGTGATTGTAGTGACGTAATGTAGACAGTGACTGTATCATTGTATTTTCTGTTATCCTGTTGTTGATGATTGTAGTGACGTAATGTAGACAGTATCATTGTATTTTCTGTTATCCTGTTGTTGGTGATTGTAATGACGTAATGTAGACAGTGACTGTATCATTGTATTTTCTGTTATCCTGTTGTTGGTGATTGTAGTGACGTAATGTCGACAGTGACTGTATCATTGTATTTTCTGTTATCCTGTTGTTGGTGATTGTAATGACGTAATGTAGACAGTATCATTGTATTTTCTGTTATCCTGTTGTTGGTGATTGTAGTGACGTAATGTAGACAGTATCATTGTATTTTCTGTTATCCTGTTGTTGGTGATTGTAATGACGTAATGTAGACAGTGACTGTATCATTGTATTTTCTGTTATCCTGTTGTTGGTGATTGTAGTGACGTAATGTAGACAGTATCATTGTATTTTCTGTTATCCTGTTGTTGGTGATTGTAATGACGTAATGTAGACAGTGACTGTATCATTGTATTTTCTGTTATCCTGTTGTTGATGATTGTAGTGACGTAATGTAGACAGTGACTGTATCATTGTATTTTCTGTTATCCTGTTGTTGATGATTGTAATGACGTAATGTAGACAGTATCATTGTATTTTCTGTTATCCTGTTGTTGGTGATTGTAGTGACGTAATGTCGACAGTGACTGTATCATTGTATTTTCTGTTATCCTGTTGTTGGTGATTGTAATGACGTAATGTAGACAGTGACTGTATCATTGTATTTTCTGTTATCCTGTTGTTGGTGATTGTAGTGACGTAATGTCGACAGTGACTGTATCATTGTATTTTCTGTTATCCTGTTGTTGATGATTGTAGTGACGTAATGTAGACAGTGACTGTATCATTGTATTTTCTGTTATCCTGTTGTTGATGATTGTAGTGACGTAATGTAGACAGTATCATTGTATTTTCTGTTATCCTGTTGTTGGTGATTGTAATGACGTAATGTAGACAGTATCATTGTATTTTCTGTTATCCTGTTGTTGGTGATTGTAATGACGTAATGTAGACAGTGACTGTATCATTGTATTTTCTGTTATCCTCCAAGATCGAGCTGTTTTCCTCTTTGATTTATTCATCAAAATAGGTGTTAACATTACATGAATTGACAAAAATATATCAAATAAGCGGTTTTGAATTTGTAGATGTAATCCGACAAACATTCTGATTAAAAACTTAAATCAGACAAAAGTGTTTACACTTGGTTCTATAGTTAGATCGGACAAATGTGTTTACACTCGGTTCTATAGCTGGATCAGACAAACGTGTTTACACTGGATTCTACAGTTGGATCAGACAGACGTGTTTGCACTCGGTTCTACGGTTGGATCAGACAAACGTGTTTACACTTGGTTCTACAGTTGGATCAGAAAAAACTTGTTTACACTTGGTTCTACAGTTGGATCAGACAAACGTGTTTACAATCAGTTCTACAGTTTGATCAGACAGACGTGTTTACAATAGATTCTACAGTAAGATCAGACAGACGTGTTTACACTTGGTTCTACAGTTGGATCAGAAAAAACTTGTTTAGACTTGGTTCTACGGTTGGATCAGACAAACGTGTTTACACTTGGTTCTACAGTTGGATAAGACAAACGTGTTTACACTCGGTTCTACAGTTGGATCAGACAAACGTGTTTACAATCAGTTCTACAGTTTGATCAGACAACAGTTAGATCAGACAGACGTGTTTACACTTGGTTCTACAGTTGGAACAGAAAAACGTGTTTACACTGGATTCAACAATTGGATAAGAAAAACGTGTTTACACTTGGTTCTACAGTTGGATAAGAAAAACGTGTTTACACTTTGTTCTATAGTTCGATCAGACAGACGTGTTAACAATGGATTCTACAGTTAGATCAGACAAAACGTGTTTACACTGGATTATACAGTTGGGTCATACAAACGTGTTTACACTTGGTTCTACAGTTAGATCAGACAAACGTGTTTACACTGAATTCTACAGTTGGATCAAAAAAACGTGTTTACACTTGGTTCTACAGTTGGATTAGACAAACGTGTTTACACTGGATTCTACAGTTGGACCAGTATGTAAATACGTCATCTCAAACGATACTTATCATTCGCATTTCTGGATGTTGGGATGACTTTACAAATTTGAGGTGAAGGTTTGTCTTTGTTTTCCCCTAACATTGCATATTTTAGATGGACACAATATTAATCTGCAAACTTTATATAAAAAATAACAGTTTGAAGTGGAAAACTGTGGTGACGGAATGCCATCCTTTCGGTGTAAGGTTTTATATGGCATTCCACGTGTTCTTGTTTCACCATATCTACGATGGTGAAGAATCAGGAGTTTTTATTTGATTATGGTCTTATTTATGTACATCTTACTATTTCATGTGTGGTCCGTCAAGACAAAGCTTACCTCTATTAGGAGGCTCCTCAAAAGAAGATCTTTCTTCTCCTGAAAACAGTAGCTTCATTTCAAAAAGAATGTTTGTTTTCCGAAACTGGTTTCTAGCTGGGCAATCTAATGGTCTCTCTCCAGTCAACAGTAGGTTATACATTATAGAATAATAAGCAACCGCAAATAAAACACATGCTAGTGCAATGCAAACTTAATATAGTGCAATAAGGAAAGCAAAGAATAAAAACAGCTACTTTTCATGCATTTTGACCTTTTTTAGACATGTTTTTACATGCAAATAGTCCATCTGATTGGTTTTAACATAGCTGGAACTTGTCATGATCAATACCATTAGAATCAAATGTACATACAATCGTATGATTCTGTTGCTTTCGTCAACAGCATATTTTCTTTATATATTTATATATTTATCATTTCCACATATTAAATCACTCCTTGTATCTAAATCTGGCGGCAACTGTCATGATAACTAGCAGTTAACTTCATTCAGGTAGACACTTTCTTGAATATCAAAGGAAAACAAAAAAAAAAAAGGTATGTTCTTTGATAAAGAGATGATAGACACTGTGAAGGTGTATTTATAAACGATTGATGTATATGTACTGGTTTAAAATTCTCTATAAAGACAACAGTTACTTATCGTGCTCTATTTGAAATAAATATATTGCGTCGCTAAAGTCTATGATACCATGTAATTTGTATATTATATTGGATTATTTTCAAAACAATTCTCAGGTAGAAAGATCTCTATACTTATCTACATAAACTTGTAAAAAATCGAATATCAAAAATGAAATATTTATAATGACTTTTTAGAAATTGAAATAATAGTATACGATTTGTTCAAACGTCCATGCATGAGAAAACACGTACATATATTTACACTAATTGATAGATAATAAAACATCAAACAGTCATTCTTTTTTTATTACAGCACATGTCCCATATCCGGAAATGATACATAGATAGTGTAAATGTTTTAGAAAGATAATAGCGATTTAAGAATCATGCTCAAAGTGATGAAGACATATGAATGCATCGCACCGTAATGTTCTGTGTGATTTGTACAGCAACGATTTTATGGTAAGGCAAAATGCAAAAAAAAAAAACCGTAAAGAGATTTTATGATAAAACAAGCAAACAGGTCTCTGTTTAAAAAAACAAATATTTGTATGAATCAGTAGCAAAGAAACGTGTGAAGTAAATGTATTCAGCTGTTGACTGGAGTTAGTGTTAATGGGAACAGACCATTCCGTTAGTATAGGTTAGTTACCATAGAAGCACTGATTGATTAAACTCGCACCATTTTTAAAATGATGTATGAGGCATGCCTGCAGAGCAACACTATACTTAGAATGTAGGAGTAGAACTTTGGAAATGTGTATCAAGATAATGAACTTCATTTATACACTGTTTATATTCCGAATTGGTACATTTAAAAACTTTTTTTGTATTCCGGATATGTATATTTAAGTTCTCTAATTGTAAAAAAAAATAACGGATATTTACATGTAACACAAGCTCATTGTGTACAAGTATTCCGGATATGTATATATGTATATAACAGCTGTATGATGTAATATCACTGACGAGTCCTAGAAGGACATAGCAGCTGTATGATGTAACATCACTGACAAGTCCTAGAAGGACGAAACAACTGTATGCTGTAAAACCACTGACATGTCTTAGAAGGACGAAACAATTGTATGATGTAACACCACTGACAAGTCCTAGAAGGACGAAACAGCTGTATGATGTAACATCACTGACGAGTCCCAGAAGGACTATACAGCTGTATGATATAACGTCACTGACAAGCCCTAGAAGGACTAAAAAGCCATATGATGTAACATCACTGACGAGTCCCAGAAGGACTATACAGCTGTATGATATAACGTCACTGACAAGCCCTAGAAGGACTAAAAAGTCATATGATGTAACATCAATGACAAGTCCTAGAAGGACGAAACAGTTGTATGCTGTAACATAACTGACAAGTCTTAAAAGGACTAAACAGCTGTATGATAGTGATAAATTCATTGTTTGGCTCTACTTTATCTTCCTAAAGTAGGATCCAAATGTGCTTTTCACTTGTGTGTTTTTGTACAATCTTTGAATTTGCAGCACAGACATACACTGCAGTGTGTTTCCGATAAATCAATCTGACCAAGACTATCCTGATTAGGGATTATGTATTATAATATAAACCTTATCTGTATTTGAGGTTAAGAATCATGAGAACAATATGTAGGCTCAGGACGTAAATCCAACATTAAATATCTATATTTGTATTTGTTCGCATCGTTTATCAGCATTCTTGGTCGCCTCAGTCACGTTTTGTCTCAGCGTTTATTAATAGTGTTCAGGTTTATTGCAAATTTGTAGTTATCAGTGGGTAATTGATGCCGACATCGCTGCTTTCAGCCTTGATACAAGTGTAATTGTACCACAAAGCGATAGAGGTGAAAGTATACTACTTCATACATATTGCTGACAACAATAAATGTTGTGACCGAGATAACACAAAAGGTGTAGAGCTTTATCTAAGATGTTTTATATGCATTGTCCTTGTGGCAAGGTCACGTACTTTGAATACCCATTCATTTATACGTTACATAATCTCTATGTCTCGGCCACATGCACAGGGAAACGTCAGAACGAACGCCTAATGAAAACTTATGACCGGCATCTTGAAAGCTTTTATCTTAGAAACGCACAACTTCTGATAGTTTATGAGAAACTATAGATTTTTTCGCGCTTGAAACCATATAAACTTGGTGTCTGTCGTTTATGATCGTTATTACAATACATCAAGTCAAGTCTATAACACTACACCCCAGTTCTAAATAGGATTTCAAGTTCCTATCCAAACATTACCGTCGCATTATATATTAATGATGCTTTCATCTTAAAACAAATTCAAAGTGTGAAAGACTAAAATATTGAATTTTGTTTTGAATCATAAATAATCGAGTCATGATTTACTCCAACGAATTCTTCTCCATATTGATTATGACGTCATGCTATTTAAAATCATTATTCTCTACAACAGTGAATCTTACCCTGAAATATTTAATGTCAAATATCACGATCGACCACATGTAGTAGTAGGGGAAGATGAAGGAGGGGGTGGGGTGGGTGGGCTGGGGTTGTACGTACGTATTTACTACAGAGCAGTAAAGCTAACATTACACTTTTGAAAATGCAGAAAAATGAAATCAGTTTCCATGTTCATGTCATTGATGTCAATGATGATTTTAAAATATCTTTAAAAGTATTTATCTGAGCTCTGAGGTTCGAATGTTAGTATTGGAAGGCATCACACTAGTCTATAGATATTACATATAACAGGAGTGAAACATATCAGGGACGTGCAAATAAGCTTCTGTTTACTCCTAATTACCCCCAAGACTGTCTATCTACGATGTGCTTTAATTAGAGGTTATATTAGGCAGCAAAAACGACACAAAGTAGATTATATGTGTCATATACAACAGTTATAATGAAACTACCTTACATATTTATATTCAAAGCTCAATTTAAAACAAACTTAACAAGAATAGTTGCACTTTTATAAAATAGAAGTCGTGTCTATGTATAATAAATTTGACATTTATCTAAAATGAATGAGAAATATCGTTCCAAGACCCCTGTTACAGGTTCATCCATATTCATCTTATAAATCTATATATTTGGTACAAATTCCAGCAATCCCGTATCATGTAGTAAGTGAACTTCCTTTTCTCACTGAAGATGCCACATATCCCTTGTAAATAAATCCCAGTTGTGTATAATAATAATTAACTTATATATAAGTAAATACACTTACCTGTCACTATTGGCTTTTCAGTAGCTGAAACAGAAAGATAACTTGTAAAATATGTGTGGAGGATCAGGTGTGTTTACACATCAAACAATCACCTCTTCACGACCTGGGCATTGGAACTATTAATGTGAAATATATGGAAGCTTATGAAAACTGTAAAACAGAATAATGATTACAAAATAACCAGCATAATATCAACATGGTATTAAAATTAATTTACAACATATGTGCACGATTAAGGCCCGATATGTTTAATTTGAAGCATCCCCATGCAGAAACTATAAACATTATATAGATATAATTAAAGACGTTACATCAATGTGTCTTATATGAGATTACAGATGTCTCAACATTACTGTTGATCATTTATTTAAAATGCTTCGAAATCATGTCACCATGATAAACATGATTCAATCAGCATTTGTCTAATATATAGTATAACAGAGGCTGACTAGGTCAGTTTCGGTCAATGGTACAAAAATTACAAAAGTAATCACCACAAAGTTTTATAGTTAGTCTTGAAAGTTTGGTGAAAATGGACTGATAATGTTTTCAATATTGTGTTCAATTAAAGGTATCTTGAATGTAGCATTTATAAAACAATTGAACTAGGAAGGCTGAAAGCTTTACCATTACTGAACTATACTTACATAAAACCACCAGATTAATGTGATATGTCTTTAATTCTTTTGAAACTATCTGACACTCGTATTTGCCCGAATGACTTGGTTTTGTACGTTTAATGATCAGATCCCAGCGCGTTCTATATTTGCCTGCACGTTTAAAATCTACGGACATCTCATCGACTGGAGCATACATATGAGTTCCTATGGAAAGGGGAAAGTCCTCTGACACCTTCCGCCATACAACCTGAAAGAAACAAACATTTAGAAATATTGCTGTATATATCCGGATATTGTGATAAGTTACACCAATAGCCACTAAAACAGCATAATATGTATATCTCTTTATTGTCATAGAATACACCAACAGTGTCACAAAACAGCAAAAATGTAAAAACCAGTAACACTAATTGACCATGTGTGGGTATAAGGTTTATCACACATGTATATTAACATTCAATAGACAAAATCCCACATGATTCTCGTCAGTACTAACATAATCATGACATTAGTAAAATAACTTTTTATAATCAAAATTAATACGTGAAATTATTCGTGCGCGCAGGTCATTAGTGGTTTAAAATGCGTTATTTTAGAGGATCACATGCGTGAGATCAGCGAGTTCTCAAACATGCTTTCCATCTGGATTGCGTAAAAACATTTACAGCGTGGATGGGAAATTTTTTACAGTTCTGGAGAAGAAACGACGACTGTTTATAACGCTCCACTGGACACAAACTATTTGATGAACGATGGAAACTTCCGAAGAGACTAGTAGGCGTTTTACTTGAGCGGTCGGTAGAGACCGATAAAGAAACATTCTTTTGTGTCGCCGACCATTTTATTAATATATTTTCGTTTTTTACAGCAGATGTTGATAACCTCTATATGTTGTGTCTGATGTGTGGAAAAGTCAATGAGTGTTAATATTGTGTATTTTCCTTATCTATACTTGCGGTAAATATAACATGGTTATAACTATTCTGAAAGTGAATAACATAAATTTGTTATCTGTACACGTGCAGCCAGTCCAGATGTAGTTTATTCCATTCAGAACCTTAAGTAATAATACTAAATTCCTATTTCCTGAACATAGGGATACTACCTGTCGTTATTGGGTGTATTTCTGTCATTTTTCTCTCTTTCGCTTTCTGATTCCTTCTGTGGGAATAATAATATTTAAGCTATCTTGTTCCGGATTTTTTCTAACATCGGAACACCTCGGGCCGGTAAGAAGCACAAGTTAGTGCTCTTGGTCCGAAGGGGTCAGGAATGATTTTTATTTCTATTAGTATTCTACTTCCGGTTTCCAGTTCCACTACCGATAAAGTTAAGAAGGTTCAGTACAGACATTAATTATATTGAAGAACAGGCGGATGGTATGATTTTACAGTCTCTTGCTATTTTACTTCTATTTCCTTCACTGTACTTACCTCCTTATTGGTAAATCTACTTTCCTGTGGCTTGGGATGGTAAGGCTAGACTGTAATACTGTTAGCTTGAAGGAAAAGTGTAGGGGTAACGATCATTTCGACTACAGGGAAATGGCAATATATTGTTAAATCTTACACCAATATAGATCTTCTTGCAAGCTGTGGCAGAGAGTATATTGATACTTGTATGAAGAACCGTAAAACGAATTTTGGAAAGATGAACTCAAATGATGTTATTTTTGAACACTTAATATGCTACAGTAATTTTGTTCCAGAGCAGATACTTAAAATTCCACTGTGGCGCTACAAGGATATAAACATTGGCGATTCGGTAGTTTTTTTATAAGGAATTTCATCACAAAAATATTTTTTGTAATTACTGATTTAATTAAGTCTGCAATTAATGATTTAATTAAATTTCGATGAATTCATTAATAAAATGATGTTGATACAAATTTGTATGTGTGTACGTGTGTGTGTGTGTGTGTGTGTGTGTGTGTGTGTGGGTGTGTGTGTGTGTGTGTGTGTGTGTGAGGGTGTGTGTGTGCGTGCGTACATGCAATGTACATGTCTATGTATAATATATGTATGTATGCTGGATTGTATAAATATGTACGTCTAATGCAAATTCCATAGATGCATCAATGAATATAGTGGTAATATTTGTGTGATTCTGTTATGAGATTGGAGATGTGCAAACATAATAGCATATCATAATTGGCAGTTGAAGTGCACATTGTCCCATTATGTATCCTTTGTTGTATTCAACTCGCTGTATAGCATGAAATAGTTACAAAAAATAAAATAATAATATTAAATACATGTATGTCATTATGAAATACAGGTGTGTCATTATAACATACATGTATGTCATTATAAAATACAGGTATGTCATTATAAGATACAAATGTGTCATTATAAAATACATGTATGTCATTATAAGATACATGTGTGTCATTATAAAATACAGGTGTGTCATTATAAAATACATGTATGTCATTATAAAATACAGGTATGTCATTATAAGATACATGTGTGTCATTATAAGTAAATGAATACGTATTAACGGTTAACAGGTACTTGATGACACTGGAACACAATACGTCACTGACAGATGGATAAATATTTGACGTGACTCAACATCCACATATAGAAATACCAGAATAATACACTCCTCAATATGACAACGAAGCTTTTAATTACAAATTAATTTAAAGGTTAAGTTAGGAAAAATAGTCTTCTGTTTGCATGTCATTACGTTTAATGATTTTAAAATACTCCCAAATAAAACCTCAGCTATCTGACCTCTTGGAGATAAATAATGTATTAACATACGCCGTGATAAACTCATGACAGCTTTCTGAATTAGTCTGACACCGATGTATTAGTGACTTACTTAGATCGTAACCTGTTAGATGACCGTCTTACGTAGATTAGACATAAACACTTCAATCCTGGTCAAAACTTTGCCATTCATAATACGGAATGTGACAGTAAAGTGAAAGGTCAGCCCAGATAATAGTGAATGGAGTGAGAAGCCCAATAAAGTAGCTACCTGGACCTCATCCAGCAGAGTTATCATACATCAACAGTCAAATCTAAACTGTTCAGAACCCAGATTATTAGCAGATTAAGTTATGTGAAATTAAAACAATCTAGACAGGTATGATACAAGGCAAACTAATAAATAAAAACGCGTGGATTAACCTGTCTTTTTCATCTTTACTGGAAAGGAAGAAAACCCTCAGTAGAGTCTTTCAACAATGCTGTAACGGGTTATCGAGCAATTTATTTGTGATATTTTATATTTGTTTGTGTCTGCTTTTTTTCGCAAAAATTGTACTGAAATAACCCAGCCAAAACAACAAAACAATAAAAGTACTTTAACGGTGACTTGTACGACAAGACGTTCAATTTACAAGTGTTTACCAAGTCTATCAGACAAAAATCACCATAAACTGTTTTAAATAAATATTGTATCCATATGAAAACTCCGAGAACATTCATGTGACGTAACGCGAACATTCCATTTGTGTAATGTACATTCTTAATGCTATCTGATGTTTAATCGGAAAGATTGAAGATTTATTTATAACATCAAATTAGAGAATGTTATATCAATCATATGTTAGTAGTAAAACGTATGTTCTTTGGAACGATTACAAAACGATACTGCACATATTAAAGATGACTCTATCATTCACAAATATTTACAAAATCAACACTTTTTATGTGTTGCCAAAATGAAGCACGCTACAATGGTTCTGAAATCTAATTTAAGATGCAGTGACGCTAGTTATGTCACTTGCTTTAGATTTGAAGTAAGTATGAATTTACTTATATCATCACTTAACTGATGTATCATGCCATAAGACCAGGCCCTAATCAAAGTACATTGTAATAACAATACGTCATAAATGAGACACGTTTTGGTGATATCTCATGATTGACTTAGTTTTGGAAAAACGAACAGTCAGCGTTGAAATTAGTCTCTTATAGGGAGATTAATTTGAATTTTCGATTATTTTATCACATAACTTGTATAAAAAAAAAAAAAAAAAAAAACAATTTACACAAGTGGTGATGTAAGATGGAATTTTAGACATTAATGTTCTTACAAGACACGTGAGTGACACAAAATAAAACATAAAAAAATTATACAGGTAAAATACATCTGAGTCTTTTGTCCAAAATGATGTTCAGAAATATGTATAATTGGGGGTATGAACACAATATTTTCTTAACATAAACTATTGTATTTCCAAAATAGCATAGTGAATACATACTTCACTTAACCAAATTATTGATGGTTAAACTACATTTACAATAATTTGCATTTACCAAACCAATTTCTTGTAATCATCTATGCATCGAAATGCGAATTATGATACATCATACTCAGGATCCATGTCAAACAATAATACTTCCTCGACTTTTTGAGTCCTTTATAGTAGCTCTCAGCGCCCCTTACAAAATTGTTCCTAAATTAAGTTAATCCTTAGACATGAAGTATTTTGAATGTTCGTGGTAAACAATTTATTGAGACAAAAGTTACTTGAACATTGCCAATATTGCGTTTACGGACCATCTTTCTTCAATTCCTGGTTATATACATATCTCTGTAGCTGTAACCCTAGTTGTACTATATTACCTCATTACGCAACTCACCAAGGACAGTGATTATCATTACTTTAACATCACATTTAATTGTGTGTTATTGCTACAAGCATATGACGATCGTTTACATTGTTGCCAGCTGCTGAGTGAGAGAGTATTTGTGGCAGAAAACTATAAGTATATCGATAAATCACCCTAAGAAATCTGCTCATAACACGTAAAAATATACACAAGACTGACTGGTTTGTGAATATCTGGCAGGACTAGCAGTCATACTGGCGACCCGTCCGCAAAAAACCATGAAATAGATTTCAACTGTAAATACATTAAAAGCAGCTTTCAAAACGACCTCCACGAAGAGGTGCTAGATTGGTATATTAGATGCACATCTGTGGCCTTTGATTATTGTCACAGATATTAACATTTTCAATTTAGGATTAAATACATCCCATTCTGTAGCTAAAGCAGATTGATCTCTGCATTTTTCACAAACTATCAGCAACAAATAGATACTTTCTATCGACTGTATCAACTCGGGATACCGACATGTATAGACATTCCATCCAGAGGTCGTTTGATCACTACTGAAACAGCTATGGTTTCTCCAACAAATCATCTTTAACATGTAGTTTCTATTTATGGGTTTGTGATCGACCGGTGACAAATGCAGTATACTTAGAAATATCAGGCTAATATT